ATCCCACCGTAGCGGAAGAAGAGAAGCTCCAAAACAATGGCATTGCTCTTAGTGTCATTCATGATGCTATCAATCAAAGGGTATTTGAGCAAATCAAGAACTTGGAGATGGCTCATGATGCTTGGAAGAAGCTAGAAGAGTCACATGAGGGCACTCAAGCCGTCAAGGGCGCCAAGGCATACATCCTCAAGTAGAAGTTTGCTAGCTTTAAGATGAAGAAAGATGAAAATATGCGGGAGATGTTCGATAGGCTCCAAGTATTGGTGAATGATCTTAAGGATCTTGGTGAGGAGATGAAGGACAAGGACTTCTCTCATAAATTCTTGAGATATCTCCCTCGAAGGTTTGGCATGTTGGTCACATTGCTAGTGAGGAGTAGTTTGGACACCATGACACCAAACCAAGTGCTTGGAGATGTGATGACCGATGACACCTATCGTGAGGACAAGGATGAGAAGAAGAAGAGCTTGGCATTTAAGGCCACATCATCATGCAAGGGCAAAAGCAAGGCAAAACAAGAAGAGTCAAGTGCTGATGACTCAAATGCATGTGACGATGATGAAGAAATGGCCCTCTTTGTGAAGAGATTTGGCAAGTTCATGAAGAAGAAAGGCTATTGAGCAAGAAGGAAGAAGACATCCTCCAAGAGCAAGGATGAACCAAGAAGGTGCTTCAAGTGCAATAGCAAGGATCATCTCATTGCCGATTGTCCTTACAATAGTGATAATGATGATGAGAACAAGAAGAGCAAGAAGAAGGAAAAGAAAGAGAAGGAGGAGAGCAAGATGACCTTCAAGAAGAAAAAGGAAGGCTCATATGTGGTCACTTGGGATAATGATGCTTCATCAAGTGATGATGATGACAAGAAGTTAAGCAAGAAGAAGGCTCTTGCAAGCATTGCTATCAATGAAAAGCCTTCGCTCTTTGACACTCCATCGACATGCTTCATGTCTAAGACCACTAAGGTATAATCTGATGATGAGTGTAGTGGAAGCGATAGTGAGAGCGATGATAAGGATGAACCATCCAAGGATGAGCTCTTTGACATGTTAGAAGATGTTCAGACTCATTTTGACATTAAGAGAAGGAAATACAAAGACTTGAGTAAGGAACTAAAAGCCCTTAAGCAAGTCTTTGATGAGCTCAATGCCACTCATGAGAGGCTAGAGGAAGCCTATGAGAAGCTTGGTAAAGCTCATAAGAAGCTTGAAAAGGCTCATTCCACTCTTCTTAAGCAAAATGAGAAGGAGCATATTGTAACATGTAACATAGGCTTGACGTGTGATATTCTTGATGAATCCTTCTATAAGCCTATTGTTGTTGCTCCCACTAACCCTTTTTGTAGCACATCCACTTCCACCTCACCTATTAGTGATGCTTTTACTTGTGATGCCTCACTAATGGTTAAGAATGAGACCTTAAAGGAGGTCAATGAGCTCACTCACGCTTTAGGCAAGGCCTATGGCGGTGAGGCCCGCTTGCTTAAGTGCTTGGATAGCCAAAGGTTCTCTCTCAACAAAGAGGGATTGGGCTATACCCCTAAGAAAAGAAAGATGGCTTTTGCTACTCACAAGACTAGTTTTGTGAAGAGCAATGGTCGGTTTTGCAATAGATGCAAGCAATCCGGACATATAGAGCAATATTGCAAGAACAAGAACAATGCCAATGTATCCTCTATTTATTTTTATTCTTGTTATTTGCTTACCAAAGGTATAAATGGTGTGTATGCTAAGTTTATTGGTGTACCAATTGTGGGCTCAAAGAAGAAAGCCATTTGAATACTAAAGACCTTAGTCACTAACTTTGGAATCTAAGCAAGTTTGGGTACCTAAAAAGAATTAATTTTTTCTTGTAGGTCAATTACAAAGCTAGAGGAAGGCATTGGGTGCTTTGATAGTGGGTGCACTCAACATATGACCAGAGATTCGAGAATGTTCAATTCTATCAATACAAGTGGCAACAAAGGTTTTGATTCTATCACATTTGGTGACAATGGCAAAGGCAAGGTCAAAGGGATTGGTAGGATTGTAATATCCAATGACATGAGCATATCCAATGTGTTGCTAGTTGAGAGCTTGAACTTTAATTTGCTATCTGTGGCTCAATTATGTGATCTTGGATTCAAATGCATACTTGGAGTTGATGATGTAGAGATTATAAGTATAGACGGCTCTAATTTGATATTCAAAGGATTTATATATGAGAATCTATACTTGGTTGATTTCAATGCTAGTGAAACACAATTGTCAACATGCTTGTTTACTAAGTCTATTATGGGTTGGTTATGGCATAGAAGGCTTGGTCATGTTGGAATGAAATAATTAAACAAGTTGGTTAAACATGATCTAATTAGAGGCTTGAAAGATGTGATATTTGAAAAGGACAAACTTTATAGCTCTCGTCAAGCCTGCAAACAAGTTGGAAACACCCATCCTAAGAAAAGCATGATGAGTACTAGCAAGGCATTTGAATTGTTGCACATGGACTTGTTTGGGCCAACTACATACACTAGCATTGGTGGTAACAAATATGACTTTGTGATAGTGGATGACTACACTAGATACACATGGATCTTCTTTCTTAGTGACAAAAGTGAAGTATATGATCAATTCAAGTCTTTTGTCAAAAGAAGTCAAAATAAGTTTGAAACAACAATCAAAAAAGTTAGAAGTGGCAATGGGAGTGAGTTCAAGAACACTAGAACTGATGAGTTGTGTGATGATTTTGAAATTAGATATCAATTCTCACCCAAGTACACTCCTTAATCAAATAGGATTGTTGAAAGAAATAATGGGACATTGATTGATATGGCAAGATCTATGCTAAGTGAGTATAATGTTAGCCATTTCTTTTGGGACGAAGCTATCAACACGGCTTGCTATTGTAGCAACCATCTCTATTGTCATGAAATGCTAGAGAAGACACCATATGAGCTATTGAATGAAAGAAAGCCCAACTTTGCATATTTTAGAGTGTTTGGTTGCAAATGCTATATTCTCAAGAAAGGCACAAGATTGAGCAAGTTCGAGAAAAAATGCGATGAAGGGTTCTTACTTGGATACTCCACTACAAGCAAAGCATATAGAGTTTAGAATTTGGCTTGTGGTACTATTGAAGAAGTGCATGATGTTGAATTTGATTAAACCAAGGGCTCTCAAGATAAAAATGAGAATCTAGATGATGTAAGAGAAACTCAATTGGCAAATGCTATGAAGAACATGGATGTTGGCGACATAAGGCCAAGAGAAATGGTGGATGATGAAGATGACAATGTTCAAGTGATCCCTCCTCCCTATATGCAAGATCCAACAAATCAAGCAAGTTCAAGTGGCTCCCATGATCAACTTCAAGACCATCAAGCTCAAGATCAACAAGCTAGTTCACCTCAAGTGCAAGATCAATCCCAAGTTCTCCAACCAACTAATATTGCAAAAGATCATCCATTGGATCAAATAGTTGGGGACTTAAGAAGTGGTGTGGAAACAAGATCAAGATTAGCATCCTTTTGTGAGCACTACTCATTTATATCATTGTTCGAACCAACCAAGATAGAAGATGCCTTGATGGATGTGGATTGGATCAATGTCATGCATGAAGAGCTAAACAACTTCACAAGGAACCAAGTTTAGGAATTGATAGAAAGACCAAAGAACTACAATGTGATTGGTACCAAGTGGGTGTTTAAAAACAAGCAAGATTAAGATGGCATAGTCATAAGGAACAAAACAAGATTGGTAGCACAAGGTTACACTCAAGTTGAAGATCTTGACTATGGAGAAACTTATGCAACGGTTGCAAGATTGGAGACAATTAGAATCCTATTATTCTGTGCTTGTGCTCACAACATCAAACTCTATCAAATGGATGCGAAGAGTGTATTCCTAAATGGATATATAAATGAGCTAGTCTATGTTGAGCAATCACCGGGATTTAAGGATGAGAAGAAGCCCAACCATGTGTAAAAGTTGAAAAAGATATTGTATGGCTTGAAGCAAGCACCAAAAGCATGGTATAAGAGGGTGGGGATTTCCTACTCTCTAAAGGGTCCAAGATGGGAAAGATTGACACTACTCTCTTCACCAAGAAGATAGGCAAAGACTTGTTTGTGTTGTAAATCTATGTGAATGATATCATATTTGGATCAACCAATAAAGACTTTTGTGAAGAGTTTAGAAAGATAATGGCTAATGAGTTTGAGATGTCCATAATTAGAGAGCTCAGTTACTTTCTTGGTTTTCAAATCAAGCAAATAAAGAATGACACATTTGTAAATCAAGGTAAGTACATTAAAGACATGCTCAAGAAGTTTGGTCTAGATGAAACAAAAACAATTAGCACACCTATGGGAATAAATAGACATTTGGATAGTGATGCTAGTGGCAACATGATGGATCAAAAGTTGTATTGGACAATGATTAGAAGCTTACTTTATGTGACCGCTTCTAGGCCGGATATCATGTTTAGTGTATGCATGTGTGCAAGATTTCAAGCCTCACCAAAAGAGAGTCATTTGAAGACACTAAGAGAATATTGAGGTGTATGGCTTATACATGTCACTCTTAGTTTTCAGTTTCAATAACTTCTTAGCTTGTGATATGCAAATATTGAATGGAAAATCTCCATACAATACAGTAAACCCATAACAAAGGATGCATACCACTAATTCATCAATGGTGGAGCTTTTAACATTTCTCATGGGCACTCTCTTCACTCTGGAATTATTAGATGGTTTCGATAAGTTAGGCTTCACTGAGCCCTTGTTTAGTTCGCGAAAAGTTGAAAATTTGGCTATTGTAGCACTTTTGTTTTTATTTGGCAATTAGTGTTTAATTATGGACTAATTAGGCTTAAAACGTTCGTCTCGCAATTTCCAACCAAACTGTGCAATTAGGTTTTTTTTCGTCTAAATTTAATGCTCCATACACGTATCGCAAGATTCGATGTGATGAATATTGTAGCACTTTTTGGAAAAACTTTTCGTGAACTAAACAAGGGCTGAGTCACAAGTATGACTGCTTCTTGATGCAACTGATTTCCTGTCACGTCGTTTCACAGCACCCGCATTACGAGATACTGATCCTGTTTTTGCCTTTGTGACATTCCTCCCTTGTCTGTTTCTTTCACTTAAATAAGGTTTTTGTTTCACCATGGTCTTCCTATTAATCTCAGTGTTCTCATTTGCCTGTTGCTTTCTGCTTGTAGGAGAGACTATCTTGATTTCTTTCGGGGATTTTGGTCGAGCCTGTTCAACATTTATCACTCTGTGAATTGATTTCATCGATGCAATCTCATTAATCGCTCTGGTATTATATGAAGTACCGATGCCCTTCTGTGAACTAGTAGAATTCTTTTGAACATTATATTGTTCTGGTGGCAGCTTTTCTGACCTACACACCTCCGTATCAAAACCAGTCTCCTCTCTGAATAATTGTGGCGGTAGCCCTTTTGACTTGGGCCTCTCAATATCAAACAGTGCTCTTGGTGAACTCGCTGTCTTAATCTTATCGTCTTTCACGGTAGAGTTGCCTTTCGGTGAGGGCAATCCATCAAGACCCATGAGCTTGGCTACCAAGCATGGGCCTTTAGACTTTCCAGGTTGTACCGCTGCACAAGATGGCAACGATCTGGGCACCACTTTCTTCTGCTGAGTAGGGTTGGACGCTAGATAATTGTTCGGCAAGTACCGTGCTGACTGGCTCAAAGAGGCCTGCTCATCATTGGACACCGACGTGTGGTTCTTCTTGTAGAAACTATCCTTGACCACATTCTTCAAATCATCAGTAGAATTGCTTAACTGCTGTCTTAATCCATCGTTAACAGTTCTAGGTAATACCTGCTTGGCATTTGATGGTCTCAGGAGGACTTCACGTATTATGGTGTCTATTTCAGGAGACTTTTCACCAGTTTCTGGTCTTCTCTTCTTGTTGGGTAGTCTCATGCTCTGTGATGCAGCTTGGAATCTCTCAAGCATCGCAAGGGACTCCTGGAGAAAAATGGCGCCTCTCAAGAGGTCCTCAGCAAAATGCTTGATACCAAGGGCGCCATAAGGTAGTCCCCATGGAACGGCATGGATCTTTCCTCCCTGTAGCTCTGCGACACGCTCTGTTCCCGGCCTTGGCAGTTCCGACAAACCGAAGGTTGCAACGTGACAATACAAGGGACGGCACACTGGACTGTTTCAGGACAGCTGCCATCTTTGCTTCTGGGGGGAAGGCTCTTTGAAAGGGATCTGCAAACCACTGATCTGAAACTGTCTTGATGCATTACTGTATTTTCTGGAGCAAACACAAGATGGAGGAATAGACAGACTGAAATAGTCAGGTACTAGTGAACACTCAAATATTCCATGCGAGGGAAACGTGATCTTGTCTCTTCAGGAGACGGAAAATGGAATAAAAAAAATGATATTTTGGTCAAATTAGGAAGTAGAAGTAGAAACTTACATTATCTTCAGACAACACAAATCGTTTAGAAGCTTGTTTGCTTCAGGCAGGAGATGATGTCTGTCTGGGCTCTGAAGACTCACACCAAGTCAAGAGGAAACTGCAAGTAACAGAAAATCTAACCTTACTAATCGAGCGCGAGTGTCCGGTACATGACGTGGCTGTTGGAGCGGTCCGGGCTCGGGAGGAGACGTGCCTGCCGTCGTGCAGCACTACATCCGCCCGTCAAGTGACCTTGAGTCCTCCTGCGCCGAGGCTGTGCTCGTCATCTTCTCCGTCATCGACGACCTGCCCACCAAGACCGGCCGCCGCGAGCGCGCTCAGGGGAGCTCCGCCCCAGCCGCCACGGGTGCGCGTGGAGGGCAGCTCTACCCGCCGCCCCTTGAAGCGCTGGCGGCGGCGAGCGAAGCTCCACCCAGGCGTCGGCGCTGCGCGAGAGGTCGACACGGCGAGCGAGGTGGAAGGTGGAGCCGGTCGAGCTGACAGTTTAGCCCCACTAAATGTAAAGAGAAAGAAACAAGAGGATATGACAAGAGAAAGGTATTTTAGACGCGTTTACACCGACCGGGCCCATATGTAAAGGCTATCAAACGGTAAAAATCAAAATGAACATAGACGGAATGGTTTGGAGAGAAAAAAGGTTCAAAACGATGGCACTCGTGAGAGTTAAATTTTTTTAATGACTTATACGTAATTGCAAACTTTTTTTAATGGCACAAAGGTAAAAGCTAAAAAAAATATACGGTGGAGTAGCAAATTGAAAAGAAACTTCTCTATCCCAACCTTCGTCCACCTCCGTCGCTCTCCTCCTCGCGTTCCTTCTTCCGTTCACTGCCGACACCACGTCGCTCTCTCTCTCCCTCCTCCCTCTCTGGCGACGACTAGGTGGGCTACCGCCGCCGCCACCCTACCCCAGGTGGTGAGGCCTTTGCCTACCTCTTCGCCCGGCGATGGCGCCCACCAGTATTCCCACCCCTTTCTCTTTCCTCTCTCATGTGCGAAACCGAGTTCTCAATTTTTTAAAAAAATTGTGTTCTCAAACTCTAACCTCAAGCTATTTGGCTATTTGATTCCTACTAACTTCTAACTTTTTGCAAAATTATTGGGTGTACACATGTACACCCATGTCCCTTTACTAGATCCGCCCTGCTTGTGATCTGTATCATTTCTGCTTTCTGTATTGCACAATTGTGCTCAGCTCAACTTGCTGTAGAAACCATTTGATGGTTGTTTAAACCAGAACTGAAAGCATTTTTTTTTGCATATCCTCTATTTTCCAGATTTTAGTAGAAGTGAATGGCTTTACAAGGACACTGATATTGAATAGGCCAAAGCAGCTAAATGCACTCTCCTCGGCCATGGTATGTTAAGAGTTCACTAGTATTACAGTACCCAGAATTACTTTTAGAATAGTGGTTGCAGGATGATTGTTCTTTCATGTGGCAGTTTATGGGACTCCTGCGGTGTTTCACTGCTTATGAGAAAGACGATGGAGTTAAATTGTTGATTATGAAGGTATCTGATGCCACTGTGTCTCTACTGTCGTTGACGTGGTCTAACTTGGATTTTAGATGTCTCTGTCTTGTTTTCTGATCATCTACTTTGAGGTCACCCGTTTGAATCTTCCGGTGCCATCTATTAGTGTGCGTTTGTTCCAGTAGAAATTACCAAGTAGCAAGGCAGTGATTTGGAACATGAGTTACACGCATTATTCTCAAAATCAATAATATAGAGAGTTTGAGGTGGTTATTCTGTTCTGAAGAACTTTAGTATGTTCCAATTCGAAGCATGTATCAGGTGCCAATGATGTTTGTTGCCATGCTAAGGCTTACAAAAGGAAGGGAACAGTATTTGTCAATGTAATGTAACTGCTTGTATCGTGTTGATCTAAGTCTCTTCACTTCATAGAATACCTTCACACTTGCTAAAACATCACTTGATGTAGAGGCTGGGATGTTACTATTCCATTATCTAAAAATTTGCTACAGAGCTTACTTCTACTTGCTGTTTTTTGTTCCTTCGGTTTAGTTTGTTTCTAATTTCCTCCTTTTAGCTCTATTTGATTGATATGATAACCACTACCGTGTCATTGCCTTGATGCCTTCTGTTGATCTTATTGTTTGTTTTGTATTCAATCATCACTTGTTTTCAGGGTAAAGGAAGAGCATTTTGTGCTGGAGGTGATGTTGCTGCAGTTGCCCGATCTATACATAAAGGTACTTACAGCTTTACCTTGTCTCTGTGGTATCTAACATCCAAAGCTGATTTCTTACATATTTTGCGTCATCTTCTGTTACCTGACTTAATACCCATGTTACATGTTGAATATGGGCCTCGCTTTCTTCCTTATTGCTTGCTGACTCTGCTATGTGTTTAATTCTTAAATCAGACGGCTGGAAATATGGTGCTGATTTCTTCCGTAATGAATTTTTGTTGAATTACATAATTGCAACTTATACCAAACCTCAGGTGAGCTTCATCCCTTCATTGTGGTTAATTGTAATTATTCACTTCTGTGTTCCTTGCCCCTAAAGGCTAAACAATTTAACTGTAGGTTTCTCTTCTTACTGGAAATGTCATGGGTGGAGGTGCTGGTGTTTCTTTACATGGAAGGTTTCGAGTTGCCACTGATAACACGGTATATGCTACAAACCGAAATCAAGTGCAACTTAATAAGGGCTAAGGCTGTTACTTTTTACTTATCAATTCAAGATGGACTGTAGTTGGGAAGCACAAAAAACTTTGCATGTCATGATGCAGCTTGAGATCTGCTTTTTTAAGTACTGCTGAATGTTGTCCCATGCTGTAACAATCTAGAATTGGGGTGTCAAGTGTGGCTCTTTCCAAGTGAGAACTGTAATTGTGTTGTGACTGAGATAGTGAGATATGTTATTTGAGCTTACCCTCTTATATAATTTACTAGGGAATTGTAGGTGCACTCTTTTTTTTTAATATGTGTTAGTATTGTATGACAGTGCAAAAATGTTACATAGTTCTAGAAGCTAGCTTTCTTGTTGGGTAAACATGGCAGGTGCACTGCCTTTCAATATATTTATCAGGGCATCATAAATAAAACTTGAAAAGATAGAAGTAACAACATTTGAACAGAACATACCCATATTGCTGCTTTAGGGTTGAAGAACAATGCATCCACATGCTGGATTTGTGTCATTACCTAGCACAACTTTTCACTGCCATTTATGACGGATATCAGGCCTGAATGTTTTTGAGAATAGGTTTCAGTTATGGACTTATGGTACAAACTATCCTTTTTGTGAGCTTGAATGGTGCTAGTAGTTCTTCTCATTTGGAATATGGAGAATCTTTCTTGTTTTTTATTGGAGATTCAGGATTCCTTCAAGTGCCAAAATCTATATCATTTACATTTCGACTATTCATGCAGGTTTTTGCAATGCCAGAAACAGCTCTGGGTCTCTTTCCAGATATAGGGGCCTCATATTTTCTGTCCCGGCTTCCTGGGTTCTATGGTTATCTTATATGTCTCTACTTTTTCTTTATATTCAGTCGAAGTACATGTTGCCATGTCATTTCCATCTATGCAATATCGTTGGATATTATTCACAGTCCTGAAATATTATGCATCCTCAATTTTTCCTTTGAAGTTTTCAAAATACCGTGTACTTAATTGATTTTTAGCAATGGTGCTTCATGTGCAAATGATCTATTGTTTTTTAGCAATAATGCTTCATGTGCAATAGTGATTGTTTTTTTGAGCGAGAGCGATAGTGATTGTGGGGATATAATCATATACATTGTGGAGATATAATCATATAAAGAAATGAAGAGTGACCAAATGTAGGTTCACTTATAACTTATATTAGTTGTACCGCGTGTGGGCCTTTTAGTTGATGGCAAAGGTATCTTAGGAGATACTGTTCACTAAACTGTTTTCATGTTCTTTTCTCCAGGAGAGTATGTTGCTCTTGCTGGTGCCAGATTGGATGGTGGGGAAATGCTTGCATGTGGTCTGGCAACTCATTTTGTCCAGTCAAATGTAGGTTCACTTATATAACTTTTTTTTTTGACCAAGTGCATCGCCAAACAACCTTTTCTATACATTCTTGGAACAAAAACCAATCAATATAGCTGTCACCTATTGCTTTCAGTTATGATGTTTTCTGTCACATCTTTGGTTATTATTGTTTGGAACATGCTACACAAGTCCTGACCATATTGATATATCATTTGCATGCTTTCAGTTTTTGTTGGCCTACATTGTTAAGGTTGTGTATGTGCTAGTCTAATAACTCATAGTAAATACTTTGTTCCTCAGAGGCTGCTATTGCTGGAAGAATCACTTAAAAAGGTGGATACTTCCAATACCTTTGCAGTGTGTGGTATCATCGATCAATTTGCTCAACAGCCATCACTGAAAGAAAGCAGCTCTTTGAATAGGTAAAGAGTGTTTATGATTGGATGACTGAAACATGCTTTGATTCATAGTTTAGCTAATTCATTCTCTGGCACTCCCCCAGGTTGGAAATCATCAACAAATGCTTTTCCAAAAGGACAGTTGAAGAAATTATATCCGCTCTTGTGAGTTTGTTATTACAGTTAACTGCAGCATTTTATGGGTTCACCTGTTCTATCCTGCAAAATTAATTAATATCTATTATGTCAGGAACTAGAGGCCTCAAATTTGGCAGATGAATGGGTTGCTACGACAATCCAGTCCTTGAAAAAGGCTTCTCCTACCAGTCTGAAAATCTCTCTGAGATCGGTATCTCTCAGAAACCACATCATTTCTATACTATTAGTCTACTGCCTCAGTTGTGTCCACAGGAATGTAGTTTTTCATTGTTTGTTCTCTAACTCGGATTTCAGATAAGAGAAGGGAGGACACAAACTGTTGGGGAGTGCTTGCAGCGGGAATATAGAATGGTTTGCCATGTCATGCGCGGTGACTTCAGCAGAGACTTCTTTGAGGTAAATAGCAACACCTTTGACACTGTTTATTTTCATTCAAGATCTCTATATCATCGTGGCAAGGTCTCTATGCCTAACATCTGATTCCTGTTGCAGGGATGCAGGGCTATATTGATAGATAAAGATCGAAACCCAAAGGTCTGGATAGTTTCCTATTTAGCACATTGATCGGAATCTGGTGCTGACATCTTAATTGTCTTACATTTACCTTTGTATTCTGGTGGTCTTTTGGGGGGTCCTTGCAGTGGATGCCTCCAAGGTTGGAACAAGTGCATGACGAGGCTGTTGAACAATATTTCTCCAGAATTGATGACCCACAGTGGGAAGATTTGAA